AGGATCAACTGTCAAAGCTCGATCAACCTCCTTTGCTGCAGAACAGGTTTAAGTTCTTAATCCATTTCCCGTTCTCTAAAAAAGGCCGTTGTATATTTCTGAAATATGTATTTTTTTAGTTTTAGGTAACATTACACTATTTTAAGCTATTCATTGGACTTGAGCTGCTTGAATTTCAATTTAAAGAATGGAAGAATTGGGCTCTTCTTAAAGTTTGGACCATTAGTGTATTCACTATCTGTCATGGGGCAGAACAGTGCATATGTGACTGTCGCAGGAACTGCCCGAAATGTCACACATGAAACCAAATTCTATTTATTTCAGCTTCTACATCAGTTGAGTTTGAAGGTGTGGAATAACAAAGAAGTGCGCTTACTGGAACTTGCCTACATTAGCTGCGAATAAGAACACACCCAAATGTCCTAATGAATTGTCAGTGGTCACGTCGCACTGCAGATCGTTGCAGGGTTGAAATTTTGATGAGGAAAGAGGGTGATTCATGGAATAAAGAAGAAGATATCCAGTTCTGCTGTACTGCTTTTAAACTGAACTGCTGACATCTTAACCCTGTAATGCCAAGTGTAACATTTTCGATACATGAGATTTTGTGACCTCTGCATTTTCTGTTTTCCATTTTTTTTCCTGAATAAATTGGACAGTAAGTATTTAAGTAATACATTGCACAAAAATGCCAACTGTATCTCACATATAACTCATATATGCAAACTGATAAAATTGATATTTAATACATTTTTTGTCAGAATATTCTGGCAATTACACTTCATGGTTCAAGCTTTACAGGGTTAAGCGATGCTAGTAGAACTTAAATGCAAAGCATAGTATGCAGTTCAACCTGCCAGCTTTTACAATGCACCGTCAGCAAAAATTCAAGTGCTTCCATAACGCATATTTTTCCCTTCCATCCCCCAGAGGCTCAGCTCATGCTGTTAACACCACACCTGAGTATCCACACCCTAAACCCATTCTCTTGTCAGTTAAGCTGCAAACAGGAAAATCCTGACAACTACGTTTGTTGCATGGCTCGTTTGATGGATAAGAAAAGTTACAGACAACGACAGGGAGGTAAATGTATGGCATGACTTACCTCTGTCTTTGCGATGATTCTCTTCGATGCGCCTCTTTTTTGCATACTTGATCGTGTCCACATCATCGATGTTCTGCTCTGCTGCAAGAAGCTCCTCATAGTGATGCCTGTAAATTTACAAATTGGAATCAAAGATTTTTATCAAGCAAAAACCACGCTGAGTGTATACTGTATTTACAGTTTGCTATAAAGTGGAAAAAGGCTACTATTGGTAGTTGTCAGTCAGCAAAATAGTGCTCCAAAATCAAATTCTCGTTATGCTAAATGCATTTGATCTCATTATTAAACTGTTTTTGTGCCTTTTATGGGTTTTTTTTCTTCAAGTCTGTGAGGCTGCAGTTGGGATACTATTTCAGATTCTTTTCACCATCAGCATTTAATAATTTCAGCCTTCAACTTAAACAATTAAGGAATTTTGATTGACTTTGTCTGATTCTATCTTGTTTGAACTGCACCTGCAAAGTTCTGGGAAGTATTCGGCAAATCATAACATGTATCGAGTATCATACCAGTGAAGGCTCTCACATTTCCTGCCTTGCATTTCTTCCTTTTCCTGCTGCCACAGGAAAATAGATGACAAAGATTCTAAATAATGATTTCATTTATGT